GTTTTCCAAAGCTTTTGGAATTTTAGTTCAATTTCTTAAACAATCTTTTATATTTTAATTATATGTATTTGGTAGTTGCTTTATATTATATTCTATTTTTTGTATTTTATCTGGATAATTTATTTTACAACTGTATTTAGTTTTATATCTTATTATTCCTTCTCTCTCTCTCTCTCTCTGTGTGTGTGTGTGTGTGTGTGTACGTGTACACACTCACATACACATAGACATATATTTGAGATAGTCTGCCTTTGGCATAGTATTCCTCATGTGTGTGTGACATGTGTGTGTATACTCACACACATATTTTAGATAGCATGCCTTTGGCAGGACCCACTGTTTTTGGTTGTTTTACTTGTAAAGCACCATGTACAGTCAGCCCCCGTATCCATAAATTCTGCTTCCACAGATTCCATTTCCCACAGCTTGAAAATAGTTTTGAAAATATTTCAAAAAGCAAACCTTGATTTTGCCATTTTATATAAGGGACACCATTTTATTGTGTTGTTGTTGTTGTTGTTGTTGTTGTTGTTGTTGTTGTGTGCCTTCAAGTTGTTTCCAACATTATTACTTACGGTGACCCTATCATGAGGTTTTCTTGACAAGATTTGTTCAGAGCATATTGCCTTCCCCTGAGACTGAAAGCATGTGACTTGTCCAAGGTGACCCAGTGGGTTTCATGGCTGAGCAGGGAATTGAACCTTGGTCTCTAGAGTCATAAGCCAATGCTCAAACCACTATGCCACACTTGCTCCAAATCATTTTACCAAATTATTGTATATAGTAGAAAATGAGCATCCATGGATTTTGGTATCCATGTGGGGTCCTGGAACCAAACCCCAGAGAATATCAAGAGCCCATTGTATATTGATGATGCTATATGAATTGATGATGATGATGATGATGATAGTCAGGCACAGCAATATCATTAAACTTTTCTAGGCCAGAATCATCAGTTGCATGTGGACTGTTGGAACCTTGTTCAAGGAGTTATCTGTCTTGCTATGAACATCTCTGAATATTAAGATGTCCAAGAGAGGACCTTCTTCAGAATGCGATCACCAGCATTGTTTGGCCTGAATCTCATAGGTTAGTCCCAACTAGAGTAGACCAACTGAATCAACAGGAGTTACATACACAAGAGTTGACATAATAGTTATCTTTAAATATCTGAAGGGAGATCATATAGAAGATAGAGTGAGCTTGTTTTCTGCTACCCCAGAAACTAGAACATGAACCAGTGGACTGCTTCCAAGTGTAAGGGCCTATGATTCTATGACTCACCTATGATTTTGTGACTCACCATTCATCATCTATGGTGTTGAAACACAATTTGAAAACTGATTGAATAGGTTTATTATATTCAGGAGTCAACAGGATTCAGGCTGTTATGCTGGTAGGCACATAGGAGACAGCTTCCTCCTGTGTTTTGTCCCCAGAGTTGCCAGGGGTGGCTGATGGCTTCAGTGTCAATGGGGCAATAAATAAATGCAGAGGTTTAATCTGACAAATAAAAGAGCTATCCAAGGTACTTTACCTTGCCCACTTAATATATTCAGCTTCCTCAATCATTCCTTAAAGTTTGAACTAAATCTCCAAGTGGATCCATCCTTTGCTAACATAGAAGCCACCTACTGCCATGGAGACTTACTTGGCAAGCACTCTCACTGCATCTCTTCACACTGGCCTTTGAAACTATTGATCACTGTGATGAGTTTGAAGGTTTCATAATTTAATTTGTTTTAATTACCTTGGTTAGCTGCTCTGAGTGCTATGTTTTTTTTAAAACAAGGTTGGATTAAAATGACATAAATAATATAAGAAATGAACAAACTGCTGCAATGCTAACTCAATCCATCCTCCATGGTGTCACTACAGCTTTGCAGAAAGCAGACCAATAACACCTTCCTCTAGCAGGAGATTTAATTCACATTGGTGGAGTACAAGAGTTGTTGGTTGCTTCCAGAGAACATTCCTGTTTGAGAAAAATTTTCAGAAATGGGTATTGCATACTTGGAACCCTTTGGTCAGAGTAGAGTAGAATGAACATCTTGACAATCATCAATGGAGTACCTCTGGTTGGTTCCAATCCCACATTTTGCTGTGTCCTAGCAGAAGACTATTTTGAGAGGTAAGCAAAGATCTTTGTACCACCTCACTATCTTTACTTATCTGATTCTTTGTGTTGTTATTAACTGCCTTCAAGTTGACTTCGACCCATAGCAACCATATGAATGAGAGACCTCCAAGTCCCCCTATCTGCAACTGCTGGGCTCAACAGTCTTAGATTCATGCCCATGGCATCTCTGATTGAATCCATCCATCTGGTATATGGTCGTCCTCTCTTCCTATTGTCCTCAACTTTAACAAGCATTACAGTTGGCCTCCTTATCCATGGATTTTTTTAATCCACGTATTCAAGTATCCATGGCTTGAAAATATTCAAAAAAGTATAAATTCCAAATAGTGAACCCTGATTTTGCCATTTTATATAAGGGACACCATTTTGCTATGCCATTGTATTTAATAGGACTTGAGAATCTACAGATTTTGTTAACCATGTGGAGTCCTGGAACCAAACCCTAGTGGATAACAAGGGCCCACTGTATTGTATTTTCTAGCTGGTCCTTTCTTCTTATGATATGGCCAAAATAGGACAACGTTAGTTGAGTCATCTTTGATTCAAGAAAGAGTACAGCTCTGATTTGCTCTAGGACCCATTTATTGGACCCATTTGGCAGTCCACAGTATTCACGGAACTCTTCTCTAGCACCACATTTCAAAGGAGTTGATTTTCTTCCTATCAATTTTCTTTACTGTCCAGCTCTCATAACCATACATAGAAATGGGAAATACGGTGGCATGGACAATCCTAACGTTAGTATTCAGTGATTTATTTTCACACTTCAGTATCTTGTCTAGTTCTTTCATAGCTGCCCCTCCAAGTCCAAGTCTTCAGATTTCTTGAGTGAAGTCTTCACTTGACTGAGCCCAAGTATGGAAAATCTTGACCTATTTCAATGTCGTCATCTAATTTAAAATTAGGTAGATCCTTCAGTCTTTATTCTTTATTTCTTTATTTCGTTAGTCTTTATTCTTTATTTCTAGCCAAACATTACAAAAGTTGAAAATTGCAATAAAATCCCTGGTCTTATTACTCTTTTAATTTTTGGTCAAACCTGAACACTACTACCCTTTCTTCTAAGCCAATTGTTTCTTGATATAGGATCTCAACTGATCTTACAGTTTCTAGCTAATTAAAAAGTGCAGGGTTTTTGACTCTATAAACTCTGGCTCCACTACATCAAGGGCTATAGCCAAAGGCTACCATGCTCAAAAAGCAAAAGATTCAAAGTGGATTCAGGAGCAGAGCGAAAGTCATTAGTACATGCATGAACATGTCCTGGGTGCCTGGTAGTGTGAGTGGGATCCATTCAAAGTTGTGTTCCAGGTGAGATGAAAATCTAGTCCATGACAGAGATGCAATTAGGTATTTCCAGACTGTGGATGTAATGGTCTTAAGGGGAGTTGAATAACTGTGTGGAGGCCAAGGTCCAATTTATCCCCACAGACTTTATCCCCTTCACAGAATTTACCATCCATCCCCAACGGCACACTCAGCTGATCTCTGCAGTCCTTCTCAAAATGGTGACAAGCATCGACACTTTGAGAGGGACTGCAGAGGACAATGAAGCAATTTGGAGGAAGTACAGGATCCTAATGTGTTTGAATGGTTATTTTTTTT